AAAGGCTCTGGAATTTTAACACTTTGGAGTAGGTATCCCCCAGAATCTTTCTCAAAGTGTTTAATTCATTCATATATTCACGTACCCAAGGATATCCCTCAGTTTCATGGGTTTAAATACTCCCCACTTAGCAAGGAAACAGCACTTAAGGGTACGATTCATGCTCCCAGTTGTATGACATGTATAACGAGCAATAAATAAGCATCATGGACAGTCAGGACACGCTATAGGCTGAAGTTTCCATCCAAAGCACTTAGTGACTACCTGTGAATAATGAATACATCTATGGGAATCAGCGTGCAGGGTCCTTGAAAGGGAAAACAGTTCTCTGTCAGTATCACTGGTGGTGAAGAATAGAGTGGGGTTGTGTTTATAGAGACAATTTGCTGGGGAAAGAACACAAACAACCCCAAACCGTAGTTATCAGTTTCTGTTTCACCATCCTTGAGGACCCCTCAAAATGTACTGCAAATTTAGAAATTAATTACACAAAGTTTTGCTGCATTCAAGTGCTATCTAACCCATATTTGAAGGGTTTTCTAATAGCAGAAAACCAGCGGTTCCTACTGCCGTGTTGCCCTTGTCCTTTGCGGGTTCCCTGCTGGAAAGACCACCCAAAATGGGGTACCCTCGTGAGATACGGAAAGACCCTCACCGAGGCTGGAAGGGGGGACGGTGCGAAACACCCCTCTGAAACGTTCCCTCCTCCTGTCCCAGGGGGATGTGTCCCCCCTACCCCGGGTCCTGCTCAGCGACTTTCTGAGGGCAGCAGACCCCGAGCAGAGTTGGCAAGTTCCATGCAGGGATGAGAGGAGCCCCGGAGGGAGAGGTTTGAGCGACTGCTTCGGGAGCTGAGCGGGCCCCTGCACCCAGCCCTCCGAGCGGGGAGAAGGAAGATGTTACACAGAGGTTTAGAGGCGGTGAAACATCTTATTGCTGATTTTTTATGTTCGTTTTTTCAGTAGGTACCAAACAGCCCCACCGCCACCTCTGCTCCTCTGAAGGAGCCTTGGACGCAAAACCCAAACGCTGCTTTGCATCTGCCTTTCATCTGGCTCCGGACTGTTTACTGAAGATGAGAGTATGGTCTTTACTTGCTTTATTTTTATAACTAAACCGAACCTGGCTGAAAATTTGGTTTTATTTACATGTATATACATACATATCTATGTATCTCAATGTCTCAACCAGTGGCAGACGACGGCCAAGAATTTCCTTACCCGCACCGCTGCCGTCGGATCTGTTAGGAGGGTGATAGGAACTGAGTGATCTGCTCAGGACCGTTGTTTCCTTGTGGAGACGCGAGAGGTGATGCCCCTGCCCAGAGCCCCCCCCGGCTGCCCATTGCAAGAGGGGTTAAACGCATCCCGCAGAAATCCGGCTCCCAGCGCCTGCGGGCCCGTCGGTGCTGAGGAGCAGAGGTTAGGCAGAGAGCGCTCCAGCCTGTCTTTCATTTCGCTTCCAGTTTACGACAACATCGAGGCAGTGCTGGTGAGGGGGGAGCCAGGGGAGACATCAAACACCAGCGCGGTAATTGCATTCACATTGCAGGCGGGCCTGCTCCTTGCGAGAGGCGTGAAGGCAGCGGCGGGAGCGGCCGGCCCGGCTTCACTGCGGCTCTTGTTATATTCTGGAGGTTCTTGTCACACCCACGGACACGGTTTCGGCCCTCAATCTGCTGATTCCCTCCGGAGCCAGCCCCGGCCCATCCCGTGCCTTGCACCTTCACTGAGCCACTCGAGAGCCTTCGGTGGTGGTGAGGGGGCTATCCCACTGGCATCCCAGGCCAGTAGTAGACATAGTCTGGGAGCCGGAGCTGCTCAGCGGGAAGGACCCCATCGGCAGCTCCCCGGAGCTCCAGCCCCTCCCAGAGCTGATCAGAGCTAGAGGTGTCTATAAAGCTTCAGATAAAAACATATATCCGGGAAAGAAACAGAGCCTGAGAAGGGAAAAAATAAGGGACGCGCAACCCGTAGTCTAAATCTGGTGTCAAAGACACCGTTGCTCCTTTCTGACCCGCGGAGGCAGGCAGGAGCTGGATGCCCATCGAACGCCTCTTCATTCACCTGCCTGCAAAAAGCAGAGGTTTCCCGTGCCGCGAAGAGGTGTCTGTGGGAAAGAAGGGGGTGGGGGAAGGAGAGGTCCTACTGGGACAGCCCAGGCCCGGCTGGGGATGCCCGGGGGGGTTGGAGATGCCCTCGGCGCAAGGGACTCCCCCGCTCAGCCTTACTTCAGGGTAAGTGACACCGAAAGGAGTTAGGACACGGGCCAGGGGTGTATTTCTGGCATTATATTACGAAAATACTGTCCCCAGCTGCTTTTTCTGCTCCCTACACGGAGCACTGCCGGGTGGCGGCGGGGAGACGTCCAGTAAACACACGCCCTGTTCCTCCTCCTCCTCCTCACAGAGAGTAATAAGCACAAAGTGTTAGTAGTCAAGTCACTATAGCAATGTAGAAGGTACGTAAACATAGCTACAAGCTTAAAACAATACCCCGTACACGCAAACACGTACGTACATGTGTTTGCAGGTATAGAATTATCCTTATTTGGCATTTCAGGAATATGTCTGAGTGTATATGACTTTGCACAAGCACTGTTCTGCATTACTGCACCCAGTTATATGTTATGCTAAAGAAATACTGAGAAAGAAAAACAAGAACAAATTTATTTTTATTGATTTTATGATACTATTTCTAAGTGGGAAGCAAAAAATATAACATAAGTTGCATGCCCACTCTGTAAGAATACTTTATAAAACATGGGTACAGAATACACGCATATCACTTGCGCATTGCATACAGAGTGTATGGAAGTAACCAGTGTCCGCGTTTTTCTCTTTATCCAGGAAAGCCCATATCTATTTTCTGAGTCTGCCAGTCAAACAGAGTTGATGGTTTATGGATGCTGAAGACAACTCGGTCAAACTCGTATTTCCTACCCAGCAACACTCACCAAAGTGCACAGATCATGAAAGCGATGTTTGTTAACACCGCTCCTATGCAACAAGTGGCGAATGCCCGCCTGCTCTGTTTACAACTCACCGGATTACTGCATGGCTCTTCCCAGGTGAGACCGAAAGCTAAAGCATGCCGCCCTATACTCCTGTTTTTCCAGAGTTCCCTTCAGAGCTCTGTTTACACCTTTCTGGCGTCTTTGGAAGTGGCATTATTCCTTTTTCCTCTATTTATTTATTTATTTACATATATATATTTAAAATTTATTTCTTTCCGACTTTTTTCCTCCCTTTCCTAAATAGGCCCTGGCCTCAGAGGTCCCCACTGCCACTCGGTAAAGGAAATAACTACTCCGCACCGGAGGCACCGCCTCCGCACCAGACTGCAACCTGGCCCCACCGGACGCTCCCGATGGGCAGCAACCGGTGCCCTCGCTCCAGAGGGGAAGGGGAGGTGGGGCTTGGGAAAATGGTGCTTCTCAGGAGTTCCGTAAAGGGGAACAGGTAGGGGTATCCCGGCAGAGGGGGAAGAGCAGGGCGGGAGGAAAAAGCTGACCTGCAAATGAGCATCGCAATGATATCTGTGTACTCACCCAAATCTCTACGGGTCTCCGACGTGCACTCTGGATCCACTTGTCCCTTTACAAACCTGGCTTGCCTGGTCCGAAGGAAAAAGGCAGAGGAAAACCCTCCTGCCCCAGAGCCCTGCAGCGAGGGGGGGAGATTTGTGGGATTGCGGGGGGTCCCTGTGTCGAGGTGGGCGGATGCAGAAGTCTCCGGAAAAGGGGGCACACAAAGGGCTGGTTTTGGCTTTCCATGAGGTAGAATTACAGCAGAAATAATAATAAAAAAAGTGTGGGGATTCGGAGGGGTAACGCCAAAAACCTTGGGCTCGGTGTTGGAGCAGACCGCGCAGCGCCGCTGCCTCCTGCCCGGGCTTCGTGGACGGACCCGGCTTCGATGGGCGGGGTTGGCTCTTTCCGAATAAACTATACAGGCATAATATACGCATATATACGAAAATACATATATATATATATATATATATATAAAGTAGAAGGTTAAATGTCACCAACTGGCCCCCGGGACGCTCTGTAGTCGAGAGCCCCCCTGCCCTCCTGGACCGTACACCCTCCCCTCCACAGGCGGGACAGTCAGCGGCCGCGGATACTCCTGCTCACGGGGATCCGTCTATCTACCCCTCCAGGTTCAAGAGCCCCAACCCGGGGTCTCTGGGCGGGGGGGAGCCTCACCGCTCCGCAGCGGCGGCTGCCGGGTTCTGCGAGCGGCGGGGGGCGCATCTCCCCCGTCCATCGCCACCGACGCGAACATGGAAGCGCTCGGCGGGGGGTGGCGGGGGGGATCATTATTATTAATTATATTAATATAACGGCGGTGTCCGCGGCGCGGATTGGCTAGCTGGGCTGCGCGCTGAGCCTTCTACAGCCAATGGAAGAGCCAGAACGTGGAGCGGCCAAGCCCGCCCTTTACACCCCCCACCAAACACTGCCGCCCCCCCCCCCCCCCCCCCCCCGGCTCCGGGATTTGCTCCTTAATTGACCTAAATAAGGAGCTCGTGAGTGACAGCCCCACGGTGGCGCGCGCACCTTCCGCACCGCACATGCACATTCACACGCATCGGTCTCGCCGCGCTCCGCGCATCCCCCGCCGACGCCCCCCCCCCCCCCAACTCCTTGGCCGCTGCGCTCCGCCCATCCCAGGATTCCCCCTCTCGCGCCCAGCGTTTAACTCGCGTGACATTTTTATTTCGTTATTAGCGTTTTCGCGCAGAATCTGGCGCCTCCGATGGGTTGTCGGGCTAGGTTTTTTTTCCTTCCCTGTTCCCTTCCCCTCCTCCCCCTCCCCCCTCCCATCCTAGCTTGCAGGAAATGATGGCAAACCGCGATCTGAAATGATTACTCCGGAAAAAAACCCTTTTATACCAGGAGAGCATCCACGGGGCTAGGCAGAGGCGGGAGGCGGCGGCTGGGCAGCGGCGCGCCGAGGAGCCAGCCGCCGGCTGAGCCGGGATCCCCCCGTCCCGCACTCATCTCCGACCATGCCGGACGAAGCCACGGAAAACGCCGGCTCCACCTCCGCCCGCGTCTCGTCCTTCTTCATCGAGGACCTGCTGGGCACCGAGAGCGCGGCGGGCCGCGGGGCTCGGCGGGCGGCTGCGGGCGGTGGTCCCCGCGGGGCTCCGCGCTGCGGGCCGCGCTCGCCGCTCCGCCTCGGCGCCCCGGGCTGCCCCCTCCGTGACGCCGCCGTCGGCTGGTACCGCCGAGCGCACGCCGCTTTCCTGGGCTGCGCCAGCCCCGACAGTAAGCCGCCTTTTCCTACCCTTGATGGCCAGGCCCGGCTGGGGATGGGGAGGGGATGTCTCTGCTCCCCCGGGGTGTCCAGTCCCGTTGCACACCCCACACCCCCCCCCCCCGCAGGCAGACGCTGAGTGGGACGCGTGGAGAGCCCGCAGCCATCGCCCTGGCTCTGCGGGCAAATCTCCGGAAACGCTCCTTGTGTGTGCGGCACCTGGAGCCTCCGCCCCACCGCCCAAAATGTAAACAGGGGTCGTGTGCTGGCTCAGGGGGTTTCTTTCTTTTTCCTCTCCTCCATCTCTTTTTCTTTCTTGCTTTTTAAGAGAGGTGTCTGTTTTGTTTTTATATATATATGTATGTGTATATATATATATATATTATTTTTTTTTGGCGCCCCATCATGCCAAAAAGATGGGAAGCAGGAATTTGGGCAGCCAGGGGAGCCGTCGGGCTGGGCCCTAAGCTGCCCTCCTCAAGCAGCGCAGCTGGGGCAGGGGCAGGCTGCGGGAACCCCGCTGGAAAGGGAGCTGGAGGAAGAACCTGGGTTCGGGAGGCAAAACTAACATCTGAAAAAGTTTATGGGCTGCCATCGGTTGGTTATTTTTATCCTGATAGAAAAAATATTGCCTTTCCACTCGTCTCTATGATCCTGTACGAGCCTTTAGAGTTCTCACGATTGCTCAGTAAGGAAAAGAGGCACGAATAGTAATCCTGTGAGTTTGTTTTCACAGATATAGGTTTATTAATATTTTTAATTTCTCTCAAAACTACATTTAGAAACAGAAATCTATTCTAGAAAAAATTGCCTTAACTTTTTGCCTTTTTTTTTTTTTCTGTTATGCTTTTCTCTTGCTCTAGAAAGAATAGGATTTTTTATCTCCTTTGAAACTGCAAATGGAGAGAGCAATGTTGGAAATTCCTCGGTGACATGCTGGGAGGCAACGTCCCGATAACAGAGTAGCTGACCCGATCGTTTGGTTTATCAAGTTCAGAATAACGTGAAGGGAAAATACTTCTTTTTAACCTCTCTTTATATACACACATGCACTCCTATACTTACCACTTCTACACACAGCAATACACTTATGTGTATGTACGTGTAAGTATATGTGTGTACACATGTGCGTGAATATATTTGTGCCGTATGTGTGTAAATATATACGTGTGTATATAAATTAAAGCTCAAGTGTAGTCATATGTGTACATACAGATATAAAAAGTACATACTTCTATTTAGATAATGTGTGTATGTACATCTCTGAATATATACGTGTGTGTATACATACACATGCACACTTGTATATTTTGTGTAGAAAAAAGGTACACATATCCGCGTGAAAATACATGCATACACTTTGCTGTGTCTACACATACGCACATACGTGAGTGTGTACGTAGCTGAGGGTATGTATACATACATGAAACACCATCTAGGTGTTTCTATATAAGTATGTAAGCTTGTGTGTCTACACAAACGCTAGGCGGGTTATCCCAGGAGAAGCAGCAGCGGCAGGAGCCATTGCCGGCCGGCCGGCCCCGGCCCCGCTCTCTCCACAGCGGCGCCGGTGAGCGGGGCAAGGGCCGGGCGATGCACTCCCTCTCCTCCCCTTGCCCGGAGCAGCAGCTCCACCTCCCACCCTCTGCCTCTCTTCGCAGCCAGCGACCGGGACTCGCCCGAGCTGCCCGAGGAGCCGGCAGAGCGGGAGAGCAGCGGCGGACGGGCGGCGGTGCGGGGCCCAGCGGGAGGACGCTCGGGCCTGAGCGGCCGCGAAGAGGAGGAGGAGGAGCGCGGAGAGGAGCCGGGCGAGCCGGAGCAACGCTCCGCCGGCCGCAAGAAGAAGACGCGCACGGTGTTCAGCCGCAGCCAGGTCTTCCAGCTGGAGTCCACCTTCGACGTTAAGCGCTACCTGAGCAGCTCGGAACGGGCCGGGCTGGCAGCCTCGCTGCACCTCACCGAGACCCAGGTGAAGATCTGGTTCCAGAACCGCCGTAACAAGTGGAAGCGGCAACTGGCCGCCGACCTGGAGGCGGCCAACCTGTCCCACGCCGCCCAAAGGATAGTGCGGGTCCCCATTTTGTACCACGAGAACTCGCCGGCGAGCGCCTTGGGCTTCCCCCTGCCCCATATGTCGCCCCCCTTGGTGGGTTTCTCTAGCGGCGTCAGCTACCCCCTGGGCACCTTCCCCGCCGCCTCCTTTCCGTTCCTACGATCGCAGATGACAGGACTCGTCTGAGCGCCCACCTGTACCCATCGCCCCCTCCCCCGGCTCCCAGCTCCACCCCCATTCCCCCCGGAATTTTCATTTCCCACTCACACCTTTCTCGATTTTCTGCTTTTTGATTTTCTATTTTTTTTTTTTTTAACGTGCAATAAACTTACTTTTGGAATAAACTCGGAGCCACTCGCAGCAGCCGGAGGGAACAGAAACGACTATGAGGACCACGCCATGAACAGGGAGCGGCTCCACGGGGCTCTCCCTGCTGCGCATCCAAAGAAAGTGCAGCCCCGTGGCAGTGGTCAAGCCCTCCCCACCGCCTCGGTCCCGGCTGACACCGACCGGCGTTTTCCGTGGGGCCCGCAGCTCCCCCAAACTCTTCCTCCCCGCTTTCCGCAGAGCTGCCGAGCCTGAGACGAATGTAGCTATCGGCCGGGGCCCCAGGGACGGCGAAGCTCGCTTTTCTCCCCTCTAAGCGACCTTCCTCAGGTCCTCCGCTGCCCCGGGCCAGCGCTCCTGCCGGGAGACCTTTCCTTGTCCCCGGCGCCCCGGCTGCGCTTCGTGCAGAGCGGGGACTCAGCGGATCTGCCCCCAGCAGCTTCTCCAGGGCCCTTTGTTTTAGCCACTTAATCCGTAAAGAACATCCCCCCTTTCCATTGTTACTCTGATTTTCACCCGATCGATACCCAAGCATGTGCTGGTGCCCCCTGCTTCTTCCCGCTGGAGGCTTTTTGATTTGAAACAACTTGAAGGAAAATTGTTGGAATGAATTCGATGAAGCCCGAGCTGTGAGGATTAGATTTCTTTGTTTTAGTTTATATTTCCCTTTCAAACGGTCGGCTAAAATACACGGTTAAAACGTATATACACATATAATTCAACATACTGCATTTTTACCAGTGGGTTTGCCACATTTCCGTCTCCTGAGGAGGCTGAAGAAAGCGCATCTCAGTTCGTCCGTCTCTTAACGGTTTGTGTAATCGATTAATAGTTCGTGCTGGTAATTAAAAAGGAAGGAAAGAAAAATAATCAGGTGGGGATAGACTGGGGAGCTGTACGGCTAGTTATGCAAGCTAACCTGTAATGTGATATTATATGAAGTATTATGCATGCCACTCTATTTTTTTTCCTTTAATAGTTGTTTCTTTTCCCCCTCTCTACCCACTGCTAAAATGAATATCGGATCTATCACTGTTTATAAAGGTTTGAATTTCATTTTCCAAGTATTAAGGGGGAAATGACCTTATAAAACACAGCTTTGGGGGAAGGTCAAGCTTTGATCCTGCGTTTTAGGGCATAATCAGGGGTAACTGAAGCGACCAGCTCGGAGCACTCGGTGTCCCCGCAGGGAGAACCGGGTGCTGGATCTACCAGGGTACGTGCAGGCGGACCTGCCTTCAGTGAAAGAAGAGCGTCTAATCCTTGCTGTTTCCTACGCTTGACATTGTATTTGGACCAATCTCACCGTTTTTTGGTTTGAAATAGATCGTCGAGATGCGGTGGAGCTTCAGCTTTGATACGAAACCTGAGCAGAAGGAACAGTGGCGGATTACAACCTCTCCAACACCTCCTCCCCCCCCCCCTTTTTTTTTCCCCCTCTTTTTTTTCCTTTTTTTCCGCTTTGGCCTGAAACGCGGCTACGTACATCAGTCTGCACAGCTAAATCAGGGTGCTGGAAGCCTCAGAAGCACTCGAGAATGAAATACATCTAGATATGCCAGGTTCCTGAGAAAAATACTAACTTGCCGGGATGCTCGTTTCGATTTGAGCCGCGTTTCTGGAAGTTGCTGTTTTGGGGGCTTTAATTACTTTTATTTTCCCAACTGCTATGAAATCCCTCGTCTCACCCCGGGAGATCTTCGCCAGCTCTTTTCTTTGCATATCCGTCAAACACCAGCCTTCGGGGCTAGTCCTTATGCAGCCCGGCCCTGAGTGGTGTAAGAAGGACTGGGACGCGGGGCTGGGGGTGCCGGGGCCCCGGGCGGGCTTCAGCCTTTCTATGTGCAGAGTAGAGGACCCGGGGAGATATTTTTCTCGGGGCTCAGCCCCTTGACTCAATACCCTTGAGAGCCTGGCTGCCCCTGGGAGAAAGCTGGCAGAGCGTTTCCCAAGTCATATCCAGCTCCCCAGATCCCCCAGCGTTACCTACTGGAACAAAATCCTGACTCACTACAGTCATATCAGAGTAGATTGTAATGCAACGAGAAACTTAACATGCCTGCCACTCTCCACATGCCTTTTCTTTGGAGTAACATATGAGATTATAATACTTCTGATTCTACTAAATATTCTTTTCTTGGAGTTAAGGAACTGGCAGGGCTCAATGATCAATCGGATTTTTAAAATGTGTTTTGACATTAGCTTGTTTTTTAAAGACGTGCTGATTATATCAATAAACAGATTTTTTTTTCATACACTGTACTTGTAACTTATGATCATAGTAAAATATTAAAAGGTGCAAGACATGAATTCATCTAAGAAAAAGTGTTTACTTACGCCTTATACTGTACCTGCAGAAAGTGCTTTGTGGTGGCTTATTAAAAGTATGTGCTGAAAGTAGAAGCATATACACCTCAGGTTTCTTTACCTCGTAGCTTTTTTAATGGCACTTTTCCTTGTATCTGCTAGCAAGAAATTTCTGCAGGATGCAGAGGAACAGCCAAGCAGCAGCCATAGTCCCGGATGTATGTGCACTGACAATTTCAACAGGCAAAAAACCCCACTAAATCCCAAGCCCCCTCCTCAAATCAGGACAACAGATTCTTGGCAGTTTTATTCTCCGTGTATATTCTTTATTAAACAAATCAAAGAAATAAGAATCACACATTGTGATCCCTCTGCACACAGAACGCTAGAAGAAAAATGTTGGCGGACTGTAAAACTCAAAGTAGTTTCACAAAGGCTGTTTGCGACATATAGAGACATACGTTGCTGCTTTATAGATCAAAGCAACCTCAGAATAGCTTTAAAATAAATCCAGTTACAGTACAGCTGTAATATTATTATGCAACATAAATCCTTGTCTGTTGACATTTATTTAATGAATGTTGCTACAACAGCTTAGCTAGATGGCACTCCAGAGGCGAGGCAAAGGAGAGCCTTGCCAGACTGCTCACAAAGATAACTTGTGTTTATTGGACGCTATTAAAAATAATTAGTGAAAAGGTTTATTTTCTTTTCATTTTAAACAAAGCAAACGAAAATCAAATTCGGGTCCGAACTGAACGTCTGGAATAAATTCCTGGTGTAGATGCCTTAAAATGTTATTATTAATTACACTTTAAATGAAAACGATCGATATGCTGCAAAGCACCTTGTTAAATGGCGACTTTGCAAATGGTATATTGCTCACCGGCTTAAGCTGGCCTATAACTTTTCTCGTAGACATGGGTCTAAAATATTCATGCAAATCAATACTTGATAAATCTCATAGGTGCGCACTGGCTCCACTGTTGAACAATTTATTTGGATCGATTCCTCCCCCCTTTCTCTTATGCTACATTACCTTGGGGCAGCCTGGCTCTGCTCCCGCCCCGCTCTCACCATCGATCGGGGGAGACTCGCTCCAGGCTTCGGCGGGCTCGCAGCATTTAGTGCTCTCAACCTCAAATAAGATCCAGGCAATTCTCTTACATTTCCCGTCCCATTGCCGATTAATATAACTTTATGGCGGGTGTCTTAATGTTTCATTTACCTACCTTGAGTTTCTCAACTGTTCTTAAGGATCCTACGTTATCATTTCTATGTTGTGAGATACAGGAATGTAAAAAAGAAAAAAGAAAATATTAATGGAACTCTAGATGTGTAACTAAAATTTTTCCTCTTTTCTTTTCTTGTCTTTTCTTGTCTTTTCTTTTTCCGTTTTTTTTTCTTCTTCTTTTTTTTTTTTTTCTCTCTTTCGTCTCCTCTCTTCTCCTCTCCTTTCCCTTTAGCAACTCACATCTACTGAACAGCCGAGAATTAGTAACTTTGTTCGCAAATCCCCTCTAGGATTTTCCCCGCCAGCCTCTGGTGTCGAGCGCATGAGTTACATGGAGGCGATTTGGCCGAGGACTTTGACCTGCTCTCAGAGGGGAACAGAAGGGTTCGGGCAGGGACGCTCTGTCCTGGGGTCACCTCAGAGGCTCTGTCCCGCACCTCTGGGTGGAAGGGTTCAGCTTAGCGCACCCAACTCCCTGGAAAGCCTGCTTGTGTGTAACATTTGCAGCTGCCTTCCACCGGGCCAGAGAGAGAGCTGCTTTCCTCCCTATGAAAAGGATGTCCCCGCTGTCCTGACCGGCGCCAGGAGGGGACGACAGCCAGGAGGGGACCACACCATAGCTATATCCAGCTAATGCCGAACTCCCAAATCAGGTTTGTTTCGGGGACCAAAGCCATCTGATTATTTTTATGAACTTTTCAGGCAGCGTTTCTGTTCTGGACCCGCCCGCCAGGAGAGCCGAGAGGAAGGCGCGAAGACCGGGGTCTTGTTTGCAAAGGGGTGTGAGATCCGGAGAGGGCCCATGTTACCCTAGAGTACATAAGGGATAAACCAAGCTCGGTTCCGTAAGCCAAGCGAGCCCGGACTCTTTGGCTTTTCTGGGGAATCTAATCAGATTTCATTTCCATCAGATTTAGATTTGGAAACTTTCTGTGCTTTGAGCTAAAATGGAAATGAAGATATGTCTGCAGGGTAATTTCTGGTAAAAAGCTTTTCCTAGGTAAAAGGTTTCCACTCAACATGATATTAGCTTCTAATACAGGAATACATTATTCAGAGAAAAAGGGTCGCTCTTCCTGCGCTGCTGCTCTGCGGTGCCGGCCTCCATGTCGTGGCATGTCCCAGGCGACAAGATTCCACCCGGATAAAATACAAATGAAACGCGGGATTAAAAAGTACCAGTGTCAGGAAATGCCTACCCATTGTTAAGGAAAGTAGTTACTTTTAACCGACAGAGTTTCGGAATGTCCACTTGGGGAGTGAACAGCGATCGTGCGGAGCAGTGCTGCTGGGGGGACCCCTCTCGGGCAGCGAGACCGCCTTTTCTGGCTCAACCAGTGCTAGGAGAGCCCAGGCAAAGCCGCCCTTGGCAGAGATGGGATGAACCATCCACCTGGCAAAGCCTCTGGCTTCTGCCAAGGTCTCCCACCCCGTCGGACACCGTCACTCCCCATGAGTTTTGGGACAAATGTATCTCGGAGGGGTTGCTGGGGGTCTGAAGCGGACCCAAGAGGGGAGACACCCTCCGTAGGGGTGCATTTTGTAGGCGGTTGGTTGTGTGTTGCAGGATACACTGGGATCAGGCTGTCAAGTAGACATACGAAGCCAAGTCCTTAAACCTTCCCTGAAGATAAGGAAGGACACTAGGAGAGGGCATGAGGAGCCCGGTACGGGTCTGGCTTGTAGGACTTGCTGCAGGGGGTACCCCGGAGGCTACTGTTGTTGAAACTGAATTGATTCTACCTTGCCCCGGTGCCTGGGGAGACCCGGACTGTAGTGTGTTCCCTCGCTGGGCAGGGTTTTGTCAGGGAACACAAACCCGGATTTGTACAGCGGCCAAATGGGGCTAGGAAAGGAGAACAGCCTTTCCCGGCTGACTGTAGAGAATGGAGTCTCCTAGTGCTGGGCTCGGACTGTTGAGGGTGTGGAGGAGTCTGTGGTGAAAAAATTGGGCTTTGAAACTTATGTCTCCTTCTTCAATTTCCTTCTTAATTTCTGCATTCTTCAAGTTTTCTTTTTCTTCCAAGAAAGTGTCTTCTAGGAAAACACACTGAGTCAATGCGTTTGATTTTTTTTAAAAGATGGATTTCTGCTAGACTAAAAGGGAAATGGTTTGCAGCAAGAACAGATGTGAGCACCTGGGATGTGCCCTGCTCACAAACAGCAGGAGAGGAGGCCGAGACAGGAGCGCAAGGCAAAGACTGTTCCCGCCTGTCACTCAAGTACTCCAAATTATACCACCTCACAGGGAATTTCCTAACTCATCTTTTCAGCTGCTTCTTTGCATTTGGTACCACTGTTCCCCGTCCCTTCCCTCGCCCTGTCGCTCCTTCTAAAGGGACTTTTCGCTCCATCAGAACCACCAGTACAGGAGATTGCAACAAGTTCAGGCATTTGGCCAATAATCGTGTTGATGGAAGACATACATATATATATTCCTCCTGGTGGAAACCGTACAACTCTTCAGAAGATGGCTGTACTAAAATCTGAATGCACCTATAAAGTGAAACAAATTTCATGAAAAAGAGCTGAAACCCGTTCTCTCAAGTACCAGCGCATTAAAGATTAACGCCTTAAGATGCCCTGATTTTAGCTCGCAGAATCTCTGGCATCACAATATTTAAGAGACTGTCAGCACTTCCATTGTCAACTGTTTTTCAAGGGCTTCTCGCTTGCCCTCAGCAGTTTTCGTAGTGGAAACCTCGAGAATAGGACTGAAAGGGCTCTTAAAAGCCGGTTGGAAACATTTTCTTGTCTTTACACATGGTTGCAGGGAGGGAAGGGGTTCACTGCGATCCCGAACGAATGGTAACTCTAGAGTCGCTGGATCTTGAGTCATGCAAACGGGTTTTAAAAAGTTGCAGTGCTTGTAGGTGGTGGGGACAAAAAAATTCTTTATTACACGGGGAAACAGATCGATCTTTCCCCAGGTCCCGCAGGCGAACCCTCATTCATACCCAAAAGATATCCCGCAAGGTGCAACCCTCCTGCTCACCATCCCGTACTAAGTGCGAGGTCTCATACAACTTTTAGCTCTTGAAAGCTACAGAGCTCGGTAGAGCCACAGGCGTGTGTATGTGTGTGGATTTCAGGGTGGCCTGACATCACGGGGCTTCTTGGAAGGAAAAGGGATTCCTTTCTCCCCAGGGAAACTCTGCATGATCGGCGGAAGGTCTGCAGGTGGAAGAACCACAGGGAAGGGACTCGGGCTGTGTGAATTGCCCTTCCCAAGGGCCTCCCACCTCTTTACGATGGCATCATAATCTGCAGCAAATGCCCCCAGCAGATTGTCCGGGGTCGTGCAGGCGCTGTACAAACAACACAGAAGGGATTCGCCGGCTCCCAGCTTCCCTTTTCTCACTTTCCCTCTCTCACTGCCACCACTGCTTTTCCTTGCCGCACCCCACCCCATCTTTGCTCTCATTGCCAGTCCTCTCCCTCCACCCTTCTTCAATTCAGAAATCTCCATCTTGCCATCCCACCTCCTCCTCGCCTTTCCCGTGGGCCCTCTTGGGCCTTACTCTGCCTTCCCTCCACCCCAACAGTGACGGTCCTGACAGGAGGGCAGCCAGCCCTGACCTGCTCTGCTCTGGCTGCCCTTTGGGGGAGAGGAAAGAGGCACCTCGGCTTGCTCCCCTCATCCCTCCCTTTCCGCTTCCCTCCAGCTTCTTCTGCTTTGCCCTCTTCGCTCCCTTTCTTCCCGGCCACCCGCCCTCCCCGTCTCCCTCCCCTGCACCACTCCCCTGTCCTCAGCCC